GGTGCAATAGGTTTTGGATGTTGATACCGTTCCCTGTGTTTGGTATCGCATCCAAACAAGAAGCGACTAGCTCCCTTGCTCCTTGGCTGCTCGTTTGGCTTTCCCTTCGTCCTCCCGAGGCCAGACGAGAAAGCCCCGACGATGCCGATGAAGCCGTTGCATTTGGTCGAGGTACTTGATCAAAGTTGGGGTAAAGGTCACTCGCCATCGCATCGAGCTATGAATTCAAAAAAGAGCATAGGAGAGACTGTAAAAAGACGTCTGGCAGATGGGACGGATTTGCATAGAGCGCTGTTCTCGTCTGGGACTGGCCTGCGAACTGCTCGCTGCCACCTGCTGCAGGAATGCGGGGTAGTGGATATGCACGGACCATTATACGCTCCATGTGCCAAGAGACCCAGTTAGTCCGCTTATGTAATCTTACACGTGCTCAGTATCGATAAGAGCTTGTGCTTGGGTCACTTGATGACCTCCAGGCCAGGGCAGCTTCACCACAGGTACCTTACCTAGTGTACCTACCTAACCGGCAAGACCTTGGACAAACAGTCACGCTCTCATCCCGTGAGGTAATAGCCATGGTTTCCTTTGTATCACCAAATCAGTCTTTGATGCCTTATACTTCTCCCCCCGGAGTGGAAGCTGGAGAGGAAGCAGAGCATCAAACTTGGACTCCTTCCCACAGATAGACGCCATGGGGTGACGTAGCTACCTAGTTTCGCTCCCCTGTGCTTGCCAAACAAGCGCACTTGGCGCCGGGATTCGCGTGTGAGGAGAGCTGTCCCGACTCCCGCGAATGATTTTAATTCCAGCTCTCAAGACTGGCTGGGCTCGAATATCCTCTATGCTGCCCCCGTATCTCATGCACCATACTATCCACTCGGGTCGTCTTATTTCGTCACAGCTTGACAGAGCAACATGATTGGTTTCACACCCTCGCCACTTGCCCTCGACTCACCTTGCCTCACCGAAACGACGTCAGAATGCCATACGCCTCGTTGGATCCGTCCGTTGGGGCCATACCGGCTCCCCTTCAGCCCGCCATGTCTTACCGAGAGGCATCTTGTTGGAATTGGGAACCACTGAGCTCGCTCAAGATATTGGGCTTATTGTCTCTCTGGCAGTCACCGTACGGACTACCGCTACTAGTGCTAACTCTGATAAGCTCCTTCCACCCCAAGGACCTTATTCCCGTATCATCTCCCACATTTCCATGTTCGAGCTCGAGCCCAAGCAGAAGACATGTGAAGCTGTTGAGCTACCGCAGCCCTGCAGCATCCATCCAATTTGGTCCCCAACGAAGCGGGATCGTCTGCAACGGCGAGCCACCCTCGGCCCTCAACCGCTGGAAGATACGGACGACGCAGCCATACCAACGCCTTGGGCCAGCCATCCCTTGCAATCTGACAGAACCTCCAAACTCTATCCTGTCCGTCCACGATAATTCGGCTATGGCTAGCCAACAAGTTTGAACGAAATGTGCCGATGCCGCAACGGAAAGTCGCGGTTCAAGACATTAGGGAAGATCCCCCTCCGAACAGACACGAATCAGATTTCATTGATTGAAAGAAAACACCGCACAAGCGTCTCTTTCTTGGCTCATATCGGCGTCTTCAACATTTTCGCCGTAAAAGCGAAGACGCGAGCGAGATAGCTTCACGTTTTCACTTGCGTATCCTTGGCCTTCCTAGGGTCTAATTTGGCAAGCCAACGCTCGTGCGCCACTTTGCTGTTATTCCCGAAAGCTCGGTAATCCGCCACGGCACTGGTGGAAAAACCACGGTCCCTTGCTCTCCTGCTCTCTACTTGCAGTTCCTTTCTGCTGGTTGATACCAGCAGTTCCACGATCCATCCATTTGCCGGAAATTCGTCCCGAATGAATCCGAGCTCACCATCCCCGGTCCGGAAACGCGAAACGGCATCTGTGTCAATGAGTCAATCTGCTTCTTCCAAAAAGGAACCAAATCAATAACATGGAATATGCACCTCGGCCTTCTATTCCCTGGGGCGGAAATGTCAGGAACCTCAGGTACCGCCCCGTCTTCCCAACCGAGCAAACATTCTAGCGCTCACTTCCATGCGCGGCCCCTCCATCCCGCGGGATGACGCTTGTCCGTCCCAAGAAGAAGTGGAATGGGGATGCACGATATGACCCCATCCACCGGGCGTGGTTCCGATGCTGCTGACCGCTTGCTTGTCTATTCGTACATCGTACACTACACAATCTGTCTCGGACCCCTGGTTTGACAAGATTGAACTTGCATATTTGATGAGCCGCACTACGTATCCGTACACCGATAGCACGAAGTGTCCCAAAAGAGATCTTCCGTATTCCGGCTACTCGACCCTGAGAAGCCGGGATGGCACTTCAGCTCGGTTATCGCAGAGCTCATATTCATGGACTAGCAGAGTCGCAGTATCGTCAACCAGCCCCCTCGCAAATCATCTTCTTGGAAACGTGGGATGACATCCTGGCGGGCCAGATCAGGCATCATCACTAATAACACCCAAGATGGACTTCGTCTTCTCCCTTGTTTGCTGTTCTATCTAGACCAGTCACCGTGGTAATCACAGTCTCTCAATCTCATCCAATCGATTGACCCCACCCCCGTCACAACCCGGCCGCTCCCGCGCATTTCACACCCTTAAGCCGAAAACCCTCGCTCATTCTCATCATCTCGGCTTGAGACTCTAGAGCCCGGCCGTGATCCAGGCTTTTGAGAGATGCGGGCTTTTCCAGACCCGGAATGGGCTCCTCCGGAAAGGAGAGTGGAGGGCCTCAAACATGAATAGACCATAGCCTAGCCCGAGCCTCATCATCCAGCGGTTCATGGCTCAGCTATGTTGTGATGCCATCGCTTCTTGCGGCTCGCTTCTTGGTAGGGAGGCAGCCCAAGATGGGTTATGCTGATGTTGAGGTATCCCCCCCCTTCTACAGTAACTTGGCTCGGTAAAGTGTCGATTAGACCTTATGACAACATTTGATGGCCAAGGTCGATTTTGCGCCTTCATTACATCATATCCTTGACTCTGCCTACTTGATTGTACTGTTCTGCCGTGAGGAATTTCCGAATTGCTGCACATTAGTGATGTTCCGTATTTGATGAAGAGTTTGGAGTGCCAGGCATTGCATCATCACCCACACCATTCTGTCTCGATAATGGTACAACTGGGTGTCAGTAACGTACCTTCCCTATTGGAAGCTCTGGTCTCACAATGTTCATTATACCAAGGACGGTGCAGAGCAGACCTCAAGGACCCGCCGAGCTATCCCAAGCACTAGGTCAAACTACGTAAATCGGAGATCATAGAACATGGAACCCAATCGAGGAGGTAGAGCATGGCGCTGTTGTTCACGATGTCTGGGGGAGCACTCAGTCGCCTTGGACGCTCGCATGTTCTGTGTAGATATTGTCCTTGGTCTCCCATAGTGCCACATCGCTCTCTTGGAAACGCGAGCGAGGGCTATCTGGCGAGGTTCTACACAATGTAATGCAACAACACTAGCGATTTACATACACATCAGACGGGGGAACTCCATTGCAACCGCAGTACGCAGTCTTTGTCTTAGATCTTCACGGATCACCTTCAGGTGACCAAAACTTGGAGAGATGGCGCCTTGGATGCCATAGTGAACTTGCAGTGGACCCCCAGCATTGCAGCTGATGAGCACCTGTAACACCTCATCTCAACTCGAACTCGCTCGTTTCCCCGCCGTAATGGGAACCAGATCTCACCACGCTAGTATGCCTCCATGTGTCGGGGACCTCACTGTGACCTGCCTTCGGCTCTGATGGCGGGTATAGCGCTATTCACCCGTGATTCTGCGACAAGAACAAAGGTCTTGACAACGCCGATGAAGTGATACGACAGAAGCAGCTCGCAGAGTGGAGGAGGAAAGACTTCTCTGGCTGATAAGAAGCTACTCAACGTCTTCATTGCGCCCGAGAGTGGTCATACTACTTCACTCCCGACACAAGCTTGAGGCCCGTAGCCATACCTCAAAACGCAGCTAGAGCGGGAAGATTCACTGTCGTTGTCAAAAGGAACAGTCACGGACTGTAGCAGACTGCAGCTTCAAGCATCAAGTTGGCACCTACACGTCTGACTGGACCACGTCACGATAGTAGCTTGGGTGGAACAGTGCAACAGGGGCAGGCAGAGGAGGAATAATAGCAGCCGGCAAAGTAGTCACGTCAGCACTGAGCAGAGTATCTGCCACGTACTTGTTTGGTACAGGTCCAGATACCAAATGAATGCCTTAGGCCTATGGCGATGAAGTGAAACCGTTTCCTATGGACATGTCGATTACATTAGACAATAATATCGAGACAGGATGAAAGGGTGTGCACACAATATGCGTTTGACCCTTGCCGCAAAGTGTGTCGAGGTTGAATAGAAGTTAGTTGAAATCACAAAAACAGAAAGGAGTGAATGACTTGCCATGTTGTTCAACCTTGTTTTGACGATTACCATAGCACCTGTCGAAAATTGTTGAAAGTTAGTATAAGCTCATTGGGACAAAGAAGGACCAAAGGCTTACTTACCATGATGACCAAGACTACTCTCAAAAGTCCGGGAAATTGTGTCTAAATGAAGGGATCTTAGTTCAAGCAAATTGGAATAGAGAAGGGAGGGAAGCTTACCATGATGTCGAGTTTGATGGTCGGATATAAGTTTGCATACTCAAAGTTAGTGGACTGTGACAGTTTAGGGGGGAATGGGGAGACTTACAGATATTGCTGAGACATTCTATGTAGCAAGCATATTGAGATATATAGTAGATAGATAGATAGATGAGATGGAAGTTAGATCATAAGAGCGGGAGTACAATGACCCTCCCGAACGAGGGACCTATCGAAGTTAGCTGACCAAAAGGGGGGGCGAACGAGAGTGGGGGGTGAGAAAAAAGAAAACAAAAACAAGCACAAAACAAGATCAGTAACCAAGACCAGTAACCAAGACCAGTAACCAAGAAGAAGGAGCCAAAAAGGACCTAGGGCCTAAGACCTAACCCGAGGAACGCGGCGGGTGATCTTGAGGGTGACTGCCTTCATGCCCTTGGGCTGGGTCGTGATCGTGGACGTGACCAGGTCAAACTCAGGCTCAGGCGTAGGAACGGGCACGGGAACAGGCGCAGGCACGGGCGAACGAGGACCATAAAGCTCCAGCAAGGAAGAGATCGATCCAGATTCCTCGGCAGAACCAGAAGAACCAGGGGACCCAAAAAAGCTGGAAGTACCGAAAGATCCGGTAGATCCGGGGGACGCACAGTACCCAGAGGAGCCACCAGATCCAGAGGAGTCAGTGGAACCAGAAGAACGATGAGAGCCGGAAGAACCAGATGAACCAGACGAGCCAGCAGAGCCAGACGAGCCAACGGAACCAGACGAGCCAACAGAACCAGAGGAAGAAGCGACAGGGGATCCAGAATACACAGGGGAGGCGGCCGGCGAATCCCACTCTGCGAGAGCTCCAGGGAGCTCAGGAGAGGCGACAGGGAAGGCGCCCTTGGTCCAGGAGTATTCCGAAACCCGATCCTCTTCCAAGGTCGAGTCCCAGTTGGAGATGGTGTGCGGCGTAGGCGAGTCCGTGCTGTAGTCGTGAGAGGGCGCGTACCGCCTCTGGGGAGCAGACCAATCCGACAGGAGAGCCCGGATTTGCGCAAACTTCGCCTTGGCCTCTGCGCTGAGCTCGCGGGCCCGGAGCCGTTGCCGCTCAACGCTGCGGTCGAGGGTATCCATCTCACGAGGCGGAGGCGTACAAGGCGGGTCAACCGGATCACGGAACAGCGAGCCAGACTCCTCAACGGGGGCATCCACCGAAGGCGAGGAAGTCATAGGCGAAAGCGTCCAGGGCTCCGGAGTCCTTAGTATCCTTTGCTCCGGAGTCCTTGGCTCCGGGGTCCTGGGAGCAGGAACAGCGACGGGGGCAGGTCGACGCTTAGCGGTGTAAGCGCGGGCCAGGTTGATTTGCCGGTCGGCAAAGGCCATCAACTGTTCAAAGTCAGGAGGAGGTCTGATGGGCGAAATCAAAGGACGGTTTGGCGAAGCCAGAGCAGGGTCAGCGGCGTCGTCCACAAACGGGTCCTCCAGGTTGGAAACGGAAACCGAACCAGATCCTGGAGAACCAGATGAAGCAGAGCGAACCGAAGACGAAGGACTGGCTCGGGGAACCGACTCAAAGTAATGGGACATACTGAGAGTGAAGGCACGCGGAGACAAACGGGGAGGAGTGCAAACAGGACCAACAGGCTCCGTAACCACAGTTCCAACCGAAGGCGAGGAACCTTCCAAAGGCAGAGGACCAACCCGGGACTCAGGACCTAAGTAATGGGACATACTCAGGGTGAAGCCATGCGGGGACCGACCGGGAGGAGTGCAAACAGGTCCAACAGGAGCCGTAAACGCAGAACCAACGGATGGCGAAGGAGACCTGACAAAAGGAGAACCGAACGAAGAAGGACTGATCCGGGATTCCGGCCCTAAGTAATGGGACATACTCAGGGTCCATCCATGCGGAGGCCCACGGGGAGGAGGAGTGGTTACGTGCACAACAGGCTCCGTAAACAGAGAACAAAAGCCCCCAGAAGAGGACTTACCAAGAGAGGACGACACCGTGATCGAGGGCCGGGTAGCTCCAGTCTGGGGTTGACGAGAAGACGAGCTACGGGCAAGCATCGCGGGGGGTGTCGGGGTACCGATGTACCGGCTAGAGAAGACTGATTAGCTACCAAGAAGACAAAAGACCCAGAGAGGCTGAAGATGTGAGTAGTTACAGGATCGGGCGGACAGCGCTTGTGACGGCGGCTGCGAGAAGGCGAGGGACGCGGCGGAGAAAGGAACCGAGCGAGGCCACGAGGGTGCTGGCGTTAACGGGGGCAGGGACTTGAACCCTGGACTGCGGACCGGTCTCAGACGGGCGGGCGGCAGCCGAAGCAGGCGAGAAGCAGAAAGAAGTCATCGTAGCAAAGCTAGAGCATCAAACGATCAAACCGTGAAGAGGAAAGGAAGAAGGAGGTTTGGGGGCCGAGAAGGAGAGGTAGAAGTAGACGGACAGTGCACCCAGATCAGTAACACCTGATTGGCCAGAATGGCTCACCCCCTGAGGGGGTGGTTGCAAGAACGACTTGTAGGGCTGAGAACCAGGCCTAATATGGTGTAGCGTCTATCATCAGGTACCCGCTAGTCCCAATTGGGACAGCGCGTCTGGATTGTCAGATGGAAGAAAAATGGTATAATAGATGGGATGACGGAGGCGCAATCCAATATGAAGAAATTAAAACCCTCCAATTGTCTTTATTATGTCTATTCAAACCTATGTGCAACTTTTACCGATGAAAACGGTCTGTTGTGGCGAGAGATACCGCGTCGAGGGTGGAATTGGCGGTTGTAGTCGAGAGGACGTCGAGAGCCGGCTGAGAATCGTCGATTTCTGGCTTGTGGCATCGAATGGTCGCCGCGCAGATGAGATATTTCCGTTGAAATAGGTTTGAAAGATGTATTAGATCGATGGGAATATCTTGATGGCTGATTATGCCTGCGCATTGCCGTGCGGTTGAGGTAGCCGAAGGAATAGGTCGGATTCGGCCACGGGATGCCATCCTTCGTCGGAAGAAACCATCGCGGCATGTCGCAGCGTGCATCGAGGTGTATGCAAAATTAGTTACAAAGTACTCTCAAGACTTCCAGCTTCCTTTTGGTGTAATTTGGGCTCATTCTCTTGCGCCGCGGCATCGTGGTTGCTCATCGTAGCGGCGACGCCTTCCCCGGAATTAGGATCGAGCCTGCCGCCTACCTCGTCCAGGAACAGCGCGTAGTTCCTCTGGCTTCAAGCTCTGTAAAGTTGGTCCTCGATTCTGTCAACAAAGATTCGTCACCTGGAGTCAGCGAACCATAGTTTGCGGCACAAGATTGATGAGCATCGGCAGAACCACCGCTAGACAGTAACAAGGACTATAATCAAAGGGACGATCATCAGTAAGGAGATTTGCTGTTCTATTGATACTGCTGTCTAACAAAGTTGAAAGAAGCGTCTTCCAAACCAGCTCTGCCACCGATGAGCCCTCAGCGTTGTTTCGACCCCCTCACCGAAGAGGCGAACCCTTTCCTGGTGTCCAAGTTGAGCCCGCCCCGAAGCCGCCACTTGATGTTCCACCTCCCGGAGCCCCCGGCGTAGAGGGTGCCTCGTTGGGTAAGGGGGGAGGCGTGTCTGTTCTTTGGACATCAGCGGCCTGTCCGCTCCTAGCAGGCGGCCGGAAGTTGACGTCTCGCCCGCCTCGATAGATATCTTGAAGCATCGGTTCCAGGATACCTGCATCTTCGAACTCCAAATACTTTCGGTATAGCTTCAACGCTGTCCGAGCATCCTCGATCGAGTCGTGAGTCTCCAGCTGGATATCTTCCTTCAGCAAGTACCAAGCCAAGAAAGCCAGCGAGAGCTTCCGAAGGCGAGACTTCAAGAAGAACAGATCGATCGTGTCGATGACCTGGGACTTCGGTATGTGTATGTTGATTACTCTGAAATCCTGTTTGAGGCCATGACCGAGGAACTTGCAGCCTAGGTTCAGCAGGATCCAAAGCTTTTTGTAGGCAACCTTTAGCGGCACAAGATTATGCTTGGATATGCGAGGATCTAGATCATCGTGAGTAATACCCGAGTACGATGTCAGGTAATCAACAATGGGTTCTCTAATCGAGATGTAGTCGTCGATGAACGGCAGACCTTCGTCCTCTCCTTGCCCCCGGACGACGGAAGCTCTGGCTAGGGCGTACACGATCGGCCGAATTGTCTCTCTTTCGCCGTCGGAGTTCATCTCGATTTCGGGCTGACGGACGGCGACAAACTCCGTGTCTAAAGCGACGATGCTCTCTGGCCCGGGTCTTTCACTCGCCGAATCGAGCGCTCGGTACGTCTTTCCGTCGTTATGAGGGCTTGATGGGTCAGCAGGCTACCTATGACGGCACATTCAGGGAGGGAACCAACTTGTTATCTTCGTAAAGGAGGGAAGTATCAATATTCTTCTTCCAGTCCATATCGATCTTGTTATTTGCCTCCTTGATCTGGAAAGCAATTACCGAGGGTGTCTTCCACGGCGGGTGGAACGAAAGGGCTTCCTCGGTGCTCACAGACCGAACTAGGAAGTCATTGAACAAATGCCATTGACTTGTAGCCGGGGCGGTTGGCTGAGAATGGGCAACTTGGACTTGTCAGCATCGCCACTTCACAAGCAACGAGGATAACGTACCGTTGGCCATTGCGACCAGATGAGGCTTTTGACCCGGACCTGGGTCAATATTCATAGCCATGCCCACTAGCGAATACACCGTTATGTTGTGAATACCGCGCTGTAGGTGGAGCTTTAGATCCTCTCCCTCATAACAGAAGAACTGGCCGTGGTCTACTATGACGCCAATTTCTTCCGGAAGGAATCCGGGTGTCGACCAATAACGCCTTTGCTCCGAGTTCCCGATTGCTGTGTTCAGCATGAAGACGGCGGGGATATTGTGGATGGTCTTGCGAGTTGCGATAGTCTGATATCGCTGGCACCGACCACACCAACCCTTCGACGTTGTTTCTCTCTCGACACTTGACTTCAGGATTTGTGAAAACGTCACTTTCGGCGCTTTCTGACCCCGGCTAACGTTCTTCTGCGAGCAATCAGCGCTTGAACAGGAAGGGAGAACCTCGGCCGCAAATTATGAAGCGAAGCAGTCGGCGAAGCTGGCCATATGCGAGTTACGGCATCCGAAGACGACAGCCAACACATTTGAGAACACGGACGAAGATTACAGTGGTTTGTACTTACCCCTGTCCCAGTTGTTTGAGGATACATCAGATCGTTGACAAAATTTGATCCAGGACGAGTGTATTCGAACCTGCAGTTGATACACCGAATCGAACTCGTTGCAGAAGTTGTGAGCATCTAGAGACGGTCAGCTACTGCAACATTTTCCAACTTGCATTTGACGAACCTGCTCCATCATGTTCGAGCCAGGCGGCATGGAACGATAATCCAGGACAATCTTCTCCAAGAGGAACCTCGTCAGTCCCTGCAGCATCACCGTTAAGGTAGAGCCATTCGATTCTTCTTCAAGGAGGCCAAGATTGGCGGCTACGATACAGTCAATATTCGCCGCAGACACAGAGAATTTAGTCACAGACATTGAGGGTGGTGGCTAAGTGTCTTCAGCATGTTGGTTGCTTGACAAATTGAACCTTCGGCCTTTTGGAGCATATCGAACAAGAAACCCAGTTCGCATAACAGACAAGTATCGGTAACACACGCAGTGGCCGCGTGTTGGAGAGCCATGTTTCGAATTAGAGGCGTAAAGTTCATGACTTGCAGCAAAGAATTGGCGTATGAGTTTGCGATATGGATCTCAAGTCCAGAGTACTGCGTTCTGTTGTAGAATCTAGACAAGGTTAGCAAGCCAAACCATTTCAGTGCGATAAGCTGACATACCCAAAGTCAAAGTCGTCAACACCAAACTTGCTGTACTTGATCTCAACGTTACGGTACATCGGATGACACTCTTGTTTGGTAGGGTCGATTTCCATTTGCATCAGAGAATGGGCAACGTCGTCAACCTTTTCGTCGCCGCTAGCATTGCCGACTGTAGCCATAGCAAACTCTCTAGCTTTCTCGCTGAGGAACTTTGGCGCAAGGATTCCCGAAGCGTTTCCTCTGTCCAAGTTCCGAGTATCTTCAACTTGGTTCCTTCGAAGGCCCCGTGTATTGCGTCCATAGTGGCCAAATTCGGACTGTTTGAGGCCCGCAACAAATTGTGGCTCAAGTTTGGTCGGAGGAGCCCCAACATCAGAAAGAAGATCTGGCCAGGCGGACAGCAGCGCCTCCCGGTAATGCGGCATGCCAATAGAGTTGAGAGGTCTGGTGCTAGGTCAGTGATCGTGGCACATGTCACAGAATCAGCAAAGAGAGGCGTTACTAACGTATCGGCAGTCCACTCTGTGGTAGGTAGAGGCTCTTCCGGAGTTGCGAACTCAGTTTGAGAGGCAAAATCGACGAAGCGGAGTTTCGAAGGGGAGCCCCAGATGTGAATGTTATGATCCGCATCTACCAGAGCCACGGCTTCGCCAGATGGGGCGATTTCGAACATGGTCAGGTAGTTCATCGTATTGGTTTGCCGCACATTGCTAGTGTTTGGGTTCATCAGGTCAACAACGTGCATCTGGCCACTTGTGGACATGACAATGCTGGTCGTCGACATTCTTGGGTGCATTCTGACAAAGGCAGCCCCAGCAGGAAACGGAATCGGCGACATGGACGACATTTTCTTGATATCAAACACATTCAAGAACGGGTCGAGCATGTAATCTCGTCCCTGCCGCAGTGAATAGCCGCAAGTGACGATGAAGTCATGCTGAGCATCCATATCGCTGATCAAGGCGGAGTGGGCGTTCCAGCTCTTAACGACGGAGAAGTTGACCGCGTCGATCAGGTTGACTGTGCCGGTCTCTGTGGCGGCGCATATGTATCTGCTTTTCTTCATAACCTTATATGAATACGCAGTTGGAACCTGGGTTCATCAGCAAGGCGTCCCCATCATCATACCGCCATCGAACGGACCTGCTTGACCACCTCTCCCTTAGCGAGGTCGATCACAAACATGGTGTCCTGGAATCCAGCGACCAGGATTTCGGACGTCCCTTTGGACGTAAAGCTCATGCATCGTAAGTCTTTCATATCATCGTGTCTGCGTTTACACTGTTAGGCAGAATTCTAATGGGTCAGGTTCATGCTCCCGTACCTTATATGCCATATCGGAGGGCCTTTCCGCGAAGCCATGTGGATGTCTCGAGATCCAAGTACCACGACGCCCTTGTCATTGACGAGTATTTGTCTAACCGGGCCGTCGGATGAGGTATGGGCCTTGAAGGACGTATAGCGCTGAAGCTCGCTGCGGTAGAACGACGTGACGCGGCCCTAGAACATGATCAGTCTTTGTCGTCGGTGAAAATCGAATCCAATGGCTCGTACATAGTCGTTCCCTGTCCACAGCAGCTCTTGAGCCGTGTCAAAGGTCATGGTCGACACGGGCGTCGCCGCGGCGTGGATGCCCGGAGGCGGAAAGGGGATGCGAGCGACCTATCAGCCATGAAATCGATTAGTTCAAGGTATGGCTACCAGAGGAGACGCGCGATATTCGCAAGCTAAGCTAGGAACAAGACGAGAAGAGATGCGAGACTTGCGACGAAGGTGCGTCGCAAAGGGCATTGAGGGGTGACGATGAGCTTCAACGTACCTCGTCCCAGTCTCCGTCCATTTTGGTCTGCGTTTCCTTGCCCAAATCACCATAGTAATGGGAACAGAAGAAACGACGTCAAAGGATGGGCGACAGACAGGTCGCAGTCGAAAGGTCCAGGACAACCAATATTGGGCACAAAAAAGAGCAGAGCACCTCACTAAACTCAGATCGCGACGACGCCGGAGTTTCGCGCAGCTTGAGCCTTGGGGGCAAGCGGGCAGAGACAAGGTGTCGCGCGCCCGAAAGCTAAGCCACTTGCATGAGCCGGACAGGGCAGGGAAGAGAATGTGGGGGAGGGATGCTGAGCTTCTTTTCCGACGTCTCTGCGCTTTCTCCTCCCCTCCTCTCCTCCTTAGCTTCTGGGCTTTGGAGTGTGACGACGCTAGCCGGCGTATTTCCGGAACTGTGTCCAGGTGAGACAAGCCCCACCAAACTTCTCACCGAAAATCACCGAACGATGGGTACTTGTTGTCAGGGTTGAGCTTGGTAACGTATTCCGTACTACTATTGATCTACCTTTCTATGGCTTATGTACCTTCTCATCTTTGTTAACTACTAACAAAATAGCGGTTCAAAGCTGTGTCTTATGGCTAGTATTAAGTTGAAACTTGCAGCAGCGCTCTAATAGCAGCACCGACAAGCAGCGCCTCTCAACGGGTCTCGAAACACCATGGCCAGCGCGTGGATACCATAGAACGTCTAAGCGTGCCATGTGGTAGGGAAGTTTCCGAGTCTACCTCCGTCCACAGTTATCACCGCGCCATTACAATACGCACCAGCTCTCGAAGCAAGGTACAACATGACGCCTGCCATGTCTTGCAAATCACCCATTCTTTGAAGAGGCACCATCTCCTTGGGGACACTGCCGTCCTCGGCGTAAAGCTTGGCAATTGGGGCCGACATTTCGCTCGGGAACACTTGTTGAGGATCAGTATGGATCTGAACATTTACTGTTGCAAGAAGACTCACATCCAGGAGCAATACAGTTGGCTCTGATGTTCCAACGAGGCAGGTTACTTGACAGTTGCTTGATAACCAACGTCGCGGCCGCCTTGGATTGGCCATACGCCCAGCCACCGGGAGCGATCTTATTGAAGGCGGCAATGGAGCTCGTCGAGACGACCTGGGAGCTTTGTGATAGGTTTCCCTTTTTGTTACCAAGGTCAAGCAGCTTCACGAAAGCCATCGCGGTGTACCACACAGAGGTGACGTTGATGTCAAAGACTCGCGTGTAATCGGCCATGTCATGGGCGAGGTGCTGCTCGGCCCATTCCTCAGCTGTCATCTCGGGGGTGGGGGCCTTGACCTGTGGTCCGCCGACACCAGCATTGCAGACGAGTAGATTGACAAAGCCGGCTTCCTTCTCGATGGCTGCGGTTGCCTCTGTGAGGCTGTTCTTGTCACTAACATCGCAAACCAGGGGAATGATGCTGGGTCCCACAGATGCCGCAGCTTCTTCCAGGACCTCTTTGCGCCGACCGAGAATGTAGACTTTCTCGGCGCCATTGGCAGCCAAGGCTTTGGCCATCATGAGGCCGATTCCTAAGTGATTTAGTACTTTCACGATAGATATGAAGCTATCGCCTGAGTGACTCACCTGAGCCACCACCAGTGATTACGGCAACCATGCCCTTGACACCAAAGAGGCTACCAGCTCCGAGAGCAGCGAGGTCTTCCTTGTTATCAGCCATTTTCGAAATTACAAAGTGCAGAGATTTGAAATGTAGTTCTAGCTTTGAATGACTTCGTGGAGATGACTACTTATACGATCTGTCAAACAAGACTCATTTGTAATAGTACAGGTCCACGGGCTATCTGCGACGGCGGGGTGCTTCGAGTGCCCCTCCAAGATCCAAGGGAACGTCATCCATGAGCGCTGGAGGAGCGGCTGTGGCCAATGGAAACCATCTAACACAGCAGCTATCGGTTATGACCAATTGCATTGTACAGGATGCGGCCCCGTACCTAGCGGGTCCTTTTCTCGGCCAGCGTTCCGCCTTATCGATTAGATCTTCACTGCTGAACCACATTTTCTTTTCTGTTGCGATCCAGCTTCGAGGTTTGACGGTTGCCCGCGCATACCTTAATATTCTTACACCAGCGACAGGGAATACGCACGATCCGGAACTCGAACAAAACCACAAACATGGTCAAGCGAAAGAGGTCGCGCGAGGACGATCTTGAGGCGAAGCTCGCCGACTACAAAAAGGAGATTTTCAGGGCCATCAAAGGCGCAAAGGGCCTCGAGCGTCAACGGTACAGCAAACGCTTGCGCGATGACAAGGCGTCGCCAGACAAGGCCAAGCGGTTGGAGAGGGAGATTTTAGTGTTAAAGGTAAGAGTTCACCCCCTCTCCATTTCCAAGTTTGCGCCGCTGACAATTGCTTCCACCTACAGTCCCTCGACCTCCAGCAAACCGCCGACGCACACCTCCACTCCTCGCTACTCAAGATCAAGCAGATCGCCGAAAGCCCCGCTCTCCCCGAAGAGATTAAGCAGGGCGTGCCAAAACCGGATTTGTCTGAGGAGGAGAAGGCGGCGCTGCATAACGTCACGAGCGGCTTGTTCAACCGCCCGCATGTCCGGGAGGCCGTTGACAAGGCGGTGCGGGGCGTTTGCCTAATCCTCAACGTACCTATACCAGACAAGAAGAGCAAAAAGGGGAAGAAGGATTCTGCTGCCGCCGCTGAGAACAAGAAGCAATCAAAGGATGAGGTCGACGATGAACCTAGGGAATCGAAGAAGGCGAAGTTGGCGGATGCAAAGGATGTATCCGCGAAACCCAAGGCCGAATCTAAACCGAAAGAGACGGAGGTAGGGGCAGAGGAGGAACCGAACCTATTTGACGAGATGGACGACGAGATCCCAACGGATAGCGATGCCTCGGACGGCGGAAAGAACGCAGACGTCGCCGACGACGAGGAGATCGATTCAGACGAAGAAGAAGAGGAAAAGGCCCTGTCCAAGATGGAAGCCATGCTCGGCGGCTCCGACTCGGAAGAAGACAGCCCCGACGAGGATCTGAAGGCCAGGTACAAGGCTTTACTCAGTGAAGTCGCCGACGAAGGGGACACGGCCGACGACGAGAGCAACAGCGACGACGAAGACGAGGACGAGGACGAAGAGATGGCGGACCCGGACTCTGACGCAGAAGACAGCGGCAACGACTCGGACCGCCAACGCCGCATCAACGCCGCCAACGTCTCCCTCTCCCCGGAACCGGAACCGAGCAGCAGCAGCAAAGAGAAGAAAGTCAAGCGCGCCAAAAAGCCCACAGGCCGGCCCGGCGAGACGACGTTCCTACCCTCGCTCATGGGCGGGTACATTTCAAACTCCGAGTCCGAGGCCTCGGACCTCGACCTCGCGCCGCCCAAGAAGCGGCTCGGCCAGAAACAGCGCCAGGCCATCTGGGAGAAGAAGTACGGCGCGTCGGCGAACCACGTCAAAAAGCAGGCCAACGGGCAGAGAGGGGCGGGCGGCGCGAGGGATAGCGGGTGGGATATGAGGAAGGGTGCCGTGGGTGCCGACGAGGACGGCGGAGCGAGGAAGCCTTGGAAGAAGGGCGTTTCGAACCCGTTGGGCGGCGGCGGCGGCGGCGGCAAGGGTAGGGATCGCGGGGGTAGAGGTGAGGAGAAGAAGAAGGCGAGGGCGCCGCCCAAGAAAGACGATGAGGGGATTTTGCATCCCAGTTGGGAGGCGAGGAAGAAGGCCAAGGAGGCGCAGACTACGGCTGCGTTCACGGGTACAAAGATTACTTTCTAGGCCACGATGTAAAGCGAAATAGCAGTGGAAAATTCCCAGTCAACTTTTGAAAGAAATCATTCGCTGTCTGCCTATGTGGCTAGTTACTGGTATGCAAGCGAGATAGCCATCTCCTGTACCCCTTGGTTCGACCAAAAGCAAAACGCATATAAGCCCCTAAATTCATCGGGCTCAGCACCGCAAGTACTCCAAATCGCTTGAAATCTGTAAAACGTCGTAAGCTATTGATCAACCGCGAAACCCGCAATAAGTCAATTAGTGAGATTCAGGACCCATCTTGGCGAGTCAATGTCTTCGTCTTTTGTTGAAAGGACAGTCGTCTACGCTTCCGACGCTTGAAAGACGCGAAAGCCTAGGGTGAGCAGTCTCCTGTTGTATGACGGGGGGGATGTATCCATAAATTCCTTCATTACCGCTACGGCGCGAGGAGGTGGCCATAGAAGAGCTTGGGAAACCGGTGGCGTAGGAGCTGGCATCGTCATCCTCTGTCGTCAGATCGATGGCGCCTCGTATTGCCAACTCGTCGTATCCTCTCTTGCGCAAGGTATCCGTCAGCACGGTAGATTCACGGCGTTGATAGTGTGACATTGACGGCGACGAGCCGCCCACGAAGAGGCCGTTTCCGCTGCCATGGGATCTCTCGCTCCCGGCTGAAGACACATGGCCAATTGACATTACGTCGGAGTGCTCGCGCTTGACGCGGTTGAAATCATCTTCTTGTTGAAGGCGCCATAGGCGTATATTCATCTTTGGTGGCTCTGTGCTGTTCAAGTCGATCGGGTTGCTGGCATTTGACCCTGCCAGTGATAATTCGTCGTCATAGTCGTTCGCGACGCTGTCTTCCGTAAGCGTCGAAGTGGTCAACTCAGTATCCGCTCGAACGCGGCGGGTGGGAGCTTTCGGGGTTGCTTCGCCAGAAGCCTCAGATTCGGTTCCGTCTAGGTCCCTATCGGGCGTTGTACTCCTAGCTCGGGCGACCTTCTTTCCCTTCCCAGGACGTGGACCCTTTGATTGATTGGTAGAGCTTGACCGTCCCAATGTATCTCTCCCAATTGGTTCTCCTGTTCCTTCGTTGGCTTGTGATCCGCCTGGAGATGCCACCGTAGCACGCTGCTGGACCGGGTCCTGGCTTTCAGCGTCTGCCATCTCGATATCACCGTCTCCATCCCTTTCCACAACTGGCGGCGACACATACACTGCGTCAAAGGCTTGACTCTTGTGATAGAGGCCCTTGATCGCCTCAACATCCTCTTGAGAAGCCTTGTACCGTGGAAGAACCGGAATCAAATTGGCTAACTTTGCAGCTTCTGCCTTATCGACAGTCTTTGGCATAGCCGTCACATTCTCGATATCCATGAAGAATGACCAATCACGAATTAGATGCCGGCCACCTTCCTGGCGGGATATGTTGTAGTCGTAGAACTGGATGAGCTCCATTCCACGAAGTGCGTGAAGGAAATGCAGTCCCTGGAGATTTCGCAGGGATCTCGTCATGCGGAAATTGGGCTGGCCAGCCGTGACAGACGCCATCCAGTCGGCGTAGGCCTTGGGCTCGTGACGGCGACGCGTGTACTGCGGGCCACTCTCGTCGATATGTATGATGAGAGTTCTTAGACGAGGCAGCTGGCAGAGCCAAGAAACGTCCCATGTCCTTTTGGATACATATTTGAGTGCTCCCTTTCTGCCTTCCTTGACAGGCTTGTGAGTGAGATACTGGCTGCCAACCCATAGTAATTCGATATGCTGGATTCTTTCTCTTCTTGCTTCTCCGATGCCAGTGCAGAAGCGGCCAAATTCTCCAAGGCTTGAGAAGGCGAAGGTGTTCAGACCGTAGAAAGCGTGGATCCCAAAGTAGTACCAACGCTTGCAGACTGTGAGCAGAGCGAGGCGAGTGTTCGGTTTCATACCGTAGGTGATATTGCAAGATGTTCCGGAAAGGTGGAAGCGACGAGGGAGACCACTTCTGTTCGCGTTTGTTTGCGTGGGTTGCTCTGGAGGCATGAATCTATCGAGACGAGTGATGCAGTGAATAAGCTTGCTTTCTTCAACGAAGACGAATTTGATGATGTTGGCCTGTACTTTAGCAGGCAGCTGATGAAAAGGAAAGCCCTTAAGATAAGGGTCCGCCCGTGGTTGCTGGCCCTCTGAGCTTTGAACATCCTCGGGGTGCTCATCGTCCTGCACGAAGAGTCCCTCAGGACCATTACGACTCTCCTCAGACTCCCCGTCCTGACTGACTGAATCGGTGTCGAGACCTTCGAGCGCATCGGCTTGAAGTTCGTTGTTCGTAGGACCCCTCAGTCGCAAGTTGGGATGAACATTGCCAGTCTTGGTGCTCATATTCTCCTCCTTGCAGCACAGCTTGTAAATGTCAGTATAAGTCAGTGCTTTTCGGTGGGCGGGGTTCGTAAGGTATAGGTCCAGCTTCTTGTGCCATGTCGGCTCGTGTCTGTTCTGGCTGTTTCGCTTTTTCTCCAACCTGGCTATATCCGCTCTCAAAGTGTGATTGTCTAGACTGAGTTCATGGATCTTGCTCTCGAGTCTTTTGATCTGTTCATCGTAGATGCCGATGCCCTTCTGGAACTCCGATCGGCACGCGTCGCTGCAGCCAAGACTACTGAGATTGATGGGCAGTGGCAAAGATAGCTCCTCATCGTTGTCACCAAGAGGGCCAGGCTCATCGTCGAGATCTTCATCATCCTCTTCCTCTTCTTCGTCGTCGCCGATTTCCTCAGCGTTCTCGTCTTCACCCTGTATGGTATCAACTCGCTTATCAGACCCTATGGTCTCTTCCCGATCAAGCTCCACTTCATCTTCGGAAGTTGCTTCGTCGTCCTCGGACTCGACTTCGTCGTCATCTGGGTCATAGTGATGCAGTGGCCCATCGGCCTCGTTGGAACTCAAGATAACAAGTCCATTTCGATCAAGC